GCCTGCGGCGGCCGCAGACGGGGTCCGGGCGTTGCGAGCGCATTTGGTGCGCGTGGTGGAGCGGGATGCCGGCTCGCAGTGGGACGATGTGGAGGCGGCGCTGCTGGACTTGTCGCGAGCTCTGCGGCGCTGTCGGCAAGCGGTGAGGAGGGCATTCGTGGCAGTGGAGGAGCTCGGGTTGTACTCTGAAGCCTCACCGGCTCACGTGCTTACCCTCGCGTGAATCAACTTATATAATAATTGAATTAATAAAACGTGTTTCCGCCCCCCAATACGGTTGCAGAGCAGTGTGTGTGCATGTGCATGTGTGCATGGCATGTGCAAACACACGCAACACCCAACACCGCGGCCGGCGGCGGCGCATCATCATGTATCCCGACGTGGAGACGCGAGGGTTGCCCCCCCTTGCCCCACCACCTCGTGTGTGTGGAGAAGTTTACCTTACCTTACCTTACCTTACCTCATGTATCCCCGGTCCGGAACACATGCTACTGTAACCGCCGATCCATGGCACGCGTAGCTATGACAGGGACCGCGGCCGCGGACCCGGTGGCGGACGGGGCTGGTGCGCAAGCGCCGGCCACCGTCGTGCCGCCGGGGATGCGCAGCGGACGCTGGAATGGCTCCGATCGCGTGCAACTGGAGGACGCGGTGATGGTCGCAAGGATCGCAGGTGCGTCGCAGGTCAGGCTGATAAGGCCTGGCTACGCGACCATCGAGGTCGACCTGAAGCACGAGAAGGCCGCGGGCGACCGCGCGTCGGTGCAGGCGGCGGAGCGCTCGTACGTCGAGCGCACCGCGCCAAAGAAGAAGGAGCTCACCAAGGAGCAGCTCGCGGCTCGGGCCGCGGCACGCAAGGCCAAGAAGGCCCGGCAGAAGGCGCGCCGGGCGAAGGAGGCTGGCGAGCGCGCCGCGAGCGAGGCCGAGCGCGCGGAGGCCCCGCGGGCGCAGCTGCGCGAGAATCCAGTACGTGATGGCCGGGCTGCGGACTGCAGCTGCGCAGACGCGCAGCCAGGCCGGGTCCAAAATAGAGGTCGAATATTCGCTGCCCCCGGAGAGGGACGACGGATATCGGCGCGGCCCCAGCAAGGTGTACGCCAAGGTTCCCCAGGGGACCGTGGCGACGACCGTCGCCTCGGACTGGCTCGCAACCGAGCTGGCCGAGTATGGAGAGATAGATGCGGCATGCCGCGACAGATTCGTCATGCACCTGATGACGGCCGCCGGCGCCTCGGCGCCGGCCGACGCCGTGTTCAGGTTCACAGCCGGCGAGGCGATGCAGACCTCTCGCCCGATCTCCGCGTCGGGCGAGGACGACGACGAGGACACCGGCTCCGAGGAGTATTCCGACGACAGGGCGTCCGACCGCTAGCTGGCTTCAACCATATCTTACCCTTTCTGCCCCCCCCCCTCCTCCGACCCCCCAGGCTAGATGGAGTAGTCAGATGTAGATTCTGCCCCACACAGCCCCTTACCCCTTCACCCTCGCCTCGCTGCTTGGTGTTTCTGAACACGTAGTCGTCCACGCTGTGGGGGTTGTGTGTGGGTCCTGTGTCTGGGAGGGAGGGAGTGGGGTGCAGGTTGCTCACCCACGGCACCGGGCCGGTGCTTGCACTTTGAATGCCGTGGGGCTCCTGCCCGTGTCCGGGCGTGGAGATGCGAGGGTCGCCCCCCCTTGCCCCACCACTTTGTGTGTGTGGAGACGTTTACCTTACCTTACCTTACCTTACATCCCCGGTCCCCGCGCCGCCCGCGCCCCGCCCCGTAAAGCGTAATCCATAGTGAAAACAACACCGCCGGTGGGTACGCAGCTTCGCCACAGACCGCGTCCCGCGCCTCGCCGCTATGACGGCGACACGGCCGCAGCTCGTGTGCGTGTCGCCGTCTTTGTCCGGAGTGAAAAGTCCAACGCGCTCGTCGGTGACGGCTTCCTCCAACCTTCGCCGCGCTCTGCGACCTCGACAGCGCCTTCGGTGGCATGCTGCTCTTTGCGACAGAAGCCTGGAGAGCAGCTCCTCTGCTGCTCACACACTCTGCACAGTTGGCACAGCCTACTGTGCGGCTGCCACAGCTGTGACAGCGATGGGCTCGCCCTCACTGGCCCTCAGTCACTTGTGCTGCGGCTTGTGTGAGCGACACTGCTCGGCGACTGCCGGCACACTGTGAGATCATGGGTGTGAGGTAAAACCACGCTACCAGCGCTTGGTCACATCGGCCCCGAGGTCAGATCCGTCTACTCTGTTGATGACAAGACTTGTCTCTACTCGCTGGAGCCGAGCAGGAGGGCCCGGCGCACAACCCCTGGTCAACTCAGGGTCCTCTCTTCCCCCGTAAAAGCAAAAAGGGAATTCCCAGTCAGTACCCTCTCCCCCGGTACGGCTCTGTCTAGTCTGCCTATTGGCTCTCGCGTCTCGGCTCTATCTAGCCTCTAGCTGCAGGCACGCTAGACTCCAGACTGTCAGTGAAGACCCCGTGGATATAGATCGCTTCACGCCCGTCACGGAGGGGTGACATGCCGTGGGGAAGGATCCTCTCAGGCGCAGCAGACCCCACCCACCTTGCTCACCTGGTAGGGCACAAAGTATACGCACTTGCCGACGGCGACCGCGCCGAGGTACTTGTCCCCCTGAGAGGTGTTTCGACACCGAGTGTTTTGAACGTTTCTTCGTAGAAGAAATCGTCGAGAGAAAAATTCTCTCGCCGGTGTTCACAGAGCTCTGTGAACACCGGCTACTCGGCCTTAGCCGCCGGTACGTCAACAGTGCGATAGCCAAGTATCGCACTGTTGGGTCCCGATGGTGTCCCATCACAAATTCGTGCTGTCGACAGATCATGTCCTTTGGTCGACTGCACCCGCCTTTGGACGGTTCTCCGACATGCTTAGATGAGTCTTTTTTGTCTTTTTGGCTCGCCTGGTCTTCACCAGTGCGAACATATTCTTGCTCGTAGGAGTCGCTCGTCTTTTGTCCGAGCAAACGTGCGCCCGATCGCCCCATTAAGCACGTGCGAAGGGTATCCGAGTGCCGTAAACTCCCTGAGCTTGCTCGTCACGCTGAGCGTGAATCCCTCGTCATCGCTCGCCATCGCGACCACCTTGAGCAGGCATCCAACCACGATGCCCGCCTTCATTTTAGCGCATGTGAAGCTATCCCAACGATGGTAGCGCCACACTCGCGGTGCCGTCTCGCAGCCCTCATTAACGTTCTTGAGTCTCGTCCGGAAACTTCCGCTTGGGTCGAGCTCAAGAGTCGTTTCCAAAAAATGGGTGCTCTCGGCGGCTTCCAGCTTCAAAGGGGCCCAGTAGCACTCCGAACGACGGAAATCATCTCGGAAACGATCAACATCCCATGCGCTATCGTCCTTCGCAGTCACCGTGATCACATCGTCCATGTAGCGCTTCATACGGAAACGCGCTTTCGTATCATCTTCGAGCGTTTGCATCCACTCGTGCTAGTCCGAGCCTGACTGTTGTTCATCTTTCTACATACATACATTCTTTCTGTGAGAGGGGCGTGTGGTATAATTCTTTTTCCAGTGTATGTAGCTCTTACGTACGTACCCGATGGTGAACTGCTGACAGGGTTTGCGATGACGAGCGATGCGAATTCGTTTTTTGGGGAGGGTACCCATTCGGTGCTGGTAGCGAACCGACGCTGCTTGACCTGTTAGCGTCGGTTCGCTCTCGTCACGGTCGGGCGTGCGAGGCTCCTGTGCCTCCGGTGCAGCCGATGCTCAGCCCTCTCCCACCGTCGCGGTGCGCCCGTCACCTCGCCTCTCCGCAGGGTTCATCTCTCGCGCCGGCTGCATCTCTCCGCCGGTCGCCAGCACCCGCGCCACCGACTAGCTGCACCGCCACTCGCGACGCGCCACCCTCGCTCACAGCCTGCATACGCGCTACTCCCGCCGTGCCTTTGCTACCACATGGATCGCATGTCACTGCAAACGCGCCCGCAGCCGCGCCGTAAAGGTCTGCCGTGCTGGCTGACCATCTCACTCTCCCGCTCCTATTGCATCTGCCTCCTGCCTCCCAGCTCACATTTCACGCTGCAGTAGGTGCTCCTGTCGACGCTGCCGCCGCTGCCACCGCTACTGTCGCCGCTCGTTTGATAATCGACGCCACGCTTAGCGGCAGCGAGATCCGAGGTTCAGTCAACTTGCCTGGTGCGCTCTTGCGCGTGCCTTCAAGATCCACAAGTCAATTTGTACCAGAAATCCAAAGGTGGTGCAAAGTGGATATCTCAAGATTGGCCTTTATTTCGCGCACCTGCTCTCCGCCGCCGCCGCTTACCTGCTGGCACGCCACCGCCCCGCGTCGCTAACTCAAGCCTCCCTGCTGCATCTTCGCACCCCTGCCACATGACTCGACCGCCGTCGCTGCTACCGCCCTCTCCGCCGCCCTCGAAGGCGCCACCAGCATTGCGGCCGCCTTCATATCCATTGATGCTGCCACCAACGCCACTTCCTCGATTCTGTGCCGCTGCAGCGGCGAGGCGCCGTCGCCACGATCGCCGCCAGCGCTGCTGACAGCCTCGGAGCGTCGCCGTGGCCGCGTTCTGGTCTGCCCACGCTTCCCTAAAACGTCTAGGACGAGCTCAGAGGCTAAGGGCGCATCATGTGGGACCATCTAGCTCTACTGGGTCCGCGACGGTGGTCGGCGCACCCCCGTCTCGAACGTGTGTGCTCTCTGTCTGTGAGTCAGCTGTTTCGGCTAAGTCGTTTTGTACCGGATTTCAATGTTAGTGGCAAAACCGCGGAACCGAAAATGGCGTTTAATTTCGCGCACCTGCTGTCCGCCGCCTGCGGCGGCGCTCCGCGCCGCTTGGGGCGCCTGCGGCGCCCCTGGGCGCGCTGCGCGCGCCTGTTTTTGGGGGGCTACCAGCACCGAAAAAGTGCCGTTTTTTGGGCGTGATAGAATTGTATTAATACCTTCGTGTTCGTGTCACATCCTTGGCCTGGTGCCGCGCCCTTTGGCTGCGACGGCGCTCCCCAGCTGCTCAGGGATGCGGACCCTCTTCGGCTTCGTCGGTCGCACTCCCGACCCGCCGCGCCGCCAACAAAGCGGCACGAGCACCCCGGAGCAGCCACGCCGCCTTCGCAGCAGCCCGCGTGCGTCATCGCTGAGCGTCGTCATCACTGAGCCTCCGCCGCAGTGGGAGCGGGCTCCTAGCATTGGCCTCACCGCGTACGAGGCTCTTGCGAGGCTCGCTGGCCAGATCAGCAAAGAGCGGAAGGCCGGCTCAGTGAGCGCGCTGCAGGCGACGGCATCGGAAGCTTGCGACGAGGAGGAGGCGAACAGGCCTCCAAAAGGCTCGACTCTGTCGGACGACGACGACCGCACTTCATCTCCGGAGGACGCCGTCCGGTTCACTTGGACCGGCGAGCCGCGCTGGACCGGAACTCGGGCCGAGCCTTTCCCGTCGGGTGCCGAGGTGCCGCCTCGAGAGCGGCAGAGGGGAGGCGACCCGCATGGGAGGGAGAGCAGGCAGGGCAGACGGGGCAGTCAGCCCGCCCCACCGAGTATTGGCCCCACCGTCATCATTGCGGTCAGCGAGAGCAGCGGCGGAGCCTCTCTTCCCGAAGCGCGAGCGGAGGTGGCGCTGCTGCAGCGGCTTATTCCGGGCGAGGTGCATGCGGAGCACCCAAACCCTTTCGCCCCGCTCAGTCGCCTGGCGTCGGTGATCTAGAGTATGCGAGTTGCCGCTTCTTGAAGTGGCGCTACTACTACCCTAGGTGCTGGTGCACGAGAACCCAAGCGCCGACAAGCTCTCCGGCCTCCTCCGCGACTGCACCCAGCTGCACCTCGCGTGCCACATGCGGCGGGGCAGCACCGTCTTCGTGCGCGGCAACGCGCCAGAGGTGCTAACCCTAACCCTAACCCTAACCCTAACCCTAACCCTAACCCTAGCCCTAACCTCCCCATCTCTCCCCATAGGTGGTGACACACGAGCCGGTCGTGTTGGCCGCCCCGGCCTCGCTCGAGCGCGCCGTCCTCAACTCGTGCCACTCCTAGACACCTCCCAGACACTCCCTCGTCACTTGCTGGACACGTCCTCGACACCCTCCTCGACACTCCCTCTCGCGCGGCACAGAAAGAAAGTGCACTGCGCCTGTTCACACTCTAGCGGTCAGTAGGTGCCACTCCGCGAACCTGGCGAGGCTGCTGCACGCGCGCGTTGCGTGCCCCGTCTTTTGCTGGGCGAGCCGCGTGGAGGACGAGGCGGCCCGGCTGTTCGGCGAGGCGGTGTGGTCGAGCCTGCTGCTTGGCCGCTCTGACCGGGAGGCGAGAACAGCCGAGATTAGCCGAGATTAGCCGAGATTAGCCGAGATTAGCTGAGATTAGCTCTGACCGGGAGGCGTTCGAGCCGTGGCTATCTCGGCTGCATCTCGGCTGTACCTCGGACATCTCTCGGCAGCATCACTCGTCCAGCGCCCCGCCGTATCACGCGCCGGTGTCCGAGTCGTTGGTCTGACTGTGCTTCGCCTCCTCATCTATCCTCCAGGCGTTCGAGTTCGGGCGCTTCGCCGTGACGGCTGACACCAAGCCGACGACGGCGAGGGACGGCAGGCCAGCCCGCTCCCAAAAGTGCGCCACTGCGAGACGCCGACGCGGCAGCGGTGAGTGTGAGGCAGCGTCTCTTCACACCTGCAGCTGTGAACAGGTTCACGCTGCGAGACCCCGACGCGGCCGCTACAGAGGCGATCTGCGAGGCAGGCATCCGGCTGGTGCCTGCCGGGGTGCCCTATCCATTTCCGATCTCCGATGTGTTGGTAGCCGAGCTGTCGCCGAGCGTGTCATGATTGCGGCGGTAGGTGCCCGAGCTGTACGACGGCACCCGCTTCCCCTTTTGCCTCTCCTTCGAGCTCCCCGCCCTCGCCTCGCCCGACGAAGACTCCGACACCCTCGCGCGCGCAAAGATGCACCTGCGAGGCTACCTGCGGCGCACGTGCGGCCTCTCCTCGTTCCGCGACTCTGACCTCGAGATCGACCGGCTGACGGCGGTGTGGCGCATCGCCCTCTTCGAGCGGGACGGCTTTGAGATCACGCGCGCCAATGGCGGGCCGGGTCGAAGAGCGACCGCCAGCGGCGCACTCTCATTTGAGTATTCAAGTGTCTAGTTCTAGGCGCGAGCCCCGGCCACCGCGCACGCCCACTCCCCCCCCCCCCCCCCCTTGCCCTGGTCGAGGGGGGTCCGTCAGCGGCTCACTGTCCGTTGAGTGAGTGTTGAACGGCCGAGTAGGCGAGAGCCTCGTCGAAGAGCTCCGCCAGCGGTACGGCGCGACGCACGCAGACCTTGGAGGTGTGAACAGCGTCTCTTCACACCTGCAGCTGTGAATAGGTACGGCGCGACGCACGCAGACTTTGAGCTGCGCGCGGTGCGGCGTGGCTCGGTCCTCCTCACCATCGTCGGCGCCCCCGCGGCCTTCGACCTCGTTGCGAGGGACTCCGCCTTCGCACGCGCCGGGCTGGGCGGCACGGCGCTCAACGGGCCCGTGCGACTCGTGAATGAAAGCGAGCCATTGACGAACAGGCTGGGCGGCATGGCGCTCAAGGAGCCCGTGCGGCTGCTCGCACTGCACGCGCAGGTGTATGGCTCGCGGGTGGCGCACGCGGCGCTGCTGTGCCCGCGGCGCAAGGGCGAGGCTGAGGTGCGAGATAGACAGAGAGGCGAGGTGTGTGGGCGGGGTGTGTGGGCGGGGTGTGTGGGCGGGGTGTGTGGGCGAGGTGTAGACTCACCGACGAGCTCACTGGTCAGGTGCGGAAGACGTGGCCTCTCTCCTTCGCGGGTGCTGGACGCTTCTCCGCCTCCGAGCACGCCTCCTCGCCCGCCATGCTGGGGGGCGAGGGGGAGGGCGTGCCCGTGTACCGACGCGCCGCCGTCGCGCCCCGCGCGCTGTCGTGGCCGCGGGGGCTGGCCGACGCGGGGGAGGGCGCGCTGGAGGGGGGGGAGGAGGAGGAGGAGGAGGGGCCGACGGTCGCCGTGGCGCCTCTCCCTCCCGGAGCGTGAGTCTGGAGACAGCGTCTCTTCACGGCGGGGAGCTCTGTCGATAGGTCGTCGTGCCGCCCCTCCCTGCCGGGCTGTCGAGCCTCGGTGCTCTCGTGCGGTTGGGAGAGGAAGGCTGAAGCGTGACACGATTGCAGTCACCCGTCCTGGCGGGATGCGAACAGGCTATGCGCAGCAGATGGAGCGAGTCGGCGCGGCGTACGACGCCCTCGTCTGGCAGAGCACCGGCGAGGACCTCGGCGTGGGCTTCGGCGAGGACCCCGCGGAGTCGCGGGCGCAACACCTCGCGGCGGCCCGCCGACGAGCGCGTTGGCAGGCGGCGCGGCCGGCCACCAGGGCCGTCACGGACGCCGCCGGGGTATTCAACCGCCTGTCGCGCCGCTCGTCGGTCGAGTCGGCGGCGGGGCGCGCCTCTGGCCGCCGCTCGCAGGCGAGCGCCTCCGGACGGCGGTCGCAGGACGCCTCTGGCCGCCGCTCGCAGGAAGAGCTTCCGCCGCGCCGGTCGTCGGGGGCGGGGGCGCAGCAAGGCTGGCGGTGGAGGTGGGAGTAGGGGAGGTCGACAGGTGCGAGGCGCCGGCGGACGTTGATATGATACGGGAGAGAGTTGGGGCGCAAAGCGCTGTGGTTCAGTCCGTTGTGTGTGTGTGTGTGTGTGTGTGTGTGTGTGTGTGTGTGTGTGTGTGTGTGTGTGTGTGTGTGTGTGTGTGCGTGTGTGTGTGTGTGTGTCTGGAGCCGTTTGTGTTATGAAATAAACGGCGCGGTGGGCGTGCGCGCGGCACGGTGACGTATGAGGTATGTGTATCACACACAGATCTCGCCGCCTACGGGCGCTGTCGAGAAAAAATCGAGGTTTTGCGAGATCGCACGTCCGGTTGGCCGTTATTTTTGTGAGTCGTGGCGCTGCCCGTGTGTTCTAAGCATGTAAGAGGATGCGTGGAGAGCAAAAAAGCGTGCACACGGGCTATTCTGGCCGACCCCAAATCTCCCCTCCCGACCCCTATGCTTTCTTTTTTCTTTAAGGGCGTTCTGTGGCGCCGCTCGCGCTCCGCTCTCTCTCCCGCGCCCTATGCGCGGGAGGCGGCGCCTGCGGGGGCGCAGGCCGCAGAGGCGGGTCAGGCTGCTCAGCAGCCCGACCCAGAGGGCGACGCTGGGACGAGCGCCGCCATGGAGGTTGAGGAGGAGGAGGGCGGCTGCTCTCACTCGTCGAACGAACCTGGACGTGCCCCATGTCGGGGGCCCGCCGGCACTACCCCGCTTTTGTTTTCTTCAGATGCGGCGGGCGAGGCGGCTGCTGAGGCGTTGGCGGAGGCGGCGGTCGACGCCGTCTACGGGGCGCTCGTGGCGGCGACGCTCGAGGAGTGGGCTGGCGCGCCAACGGCGTTCGCCGCGGCGGACCGCGGACGCTCGAGGCCCAGGCCTTGAGTGTGGGCAGTGCTTTGAGAGCTTTTACGAGGTGTTTGGCGTGGAGCCGTGGCTGTGGCGCCGGGCGATGCGTGAGGGGCTGAGGGCTGGTCGCGAGCCCACGGATCGGCGCCGTCGCACAGGCCCGCCAGCCGCCGCACAGCTCCAGAGAGGCCACTGGCGTTGCGCTGCACTGCTTGAAGCTGATGTTGAGGCGCTGCACTGCTCAAAGCTGCCCCGTGCGCCGCCGCGAGCGCCGCGCCGTGGCCTCGTTCTCTGGCGAGCCCCAGCACGACCCCTCGCGGCCACTCGCGCCGTTGCAGCAGCTCCGACCCCGCCACTCCGGCTCCCGAGCGCGCGACGAGCACGAGGAAGAGCATGCGCATGGGCCAAAATCAGTTACTGGGGGGCTCGGCCATCGGAACCATTTTACAAGTTTGCCCGCCGACATGTCCCGGTCCGGCTCAAGTGGCCAGACCTCCCCCCCTCTCCGAGGGCAGAGGCTGCCGCCTCTCGGATACTCGGCCATTCCAACGGCCAGGCCGCTCGCTTAAGGCTGATTGGCTAGACGAGCGGCCTACCTCCACGGGGCTGTTGGCGCAGGGGGGGGGTGTCAATCACGCTCCCGGGACGCCGGAGAGATCGGGTTGGTCTCCCCCGCCTTCAGCCCTGACCCGACGGGGACGCCATCACCCTCGCCCAGGGATCTACATGCTGTCTCAAGGTCCGACAGGTTCGGCACCGGGCACCGCCTCGGTATACAAAATGCGCCTGCGGGCGGACCCTCACAGATCACAGATCATGCAAGCCCCCTCTTTACCCCTTCAAAGCTCCTCGAAAACGAGGTTGACGCCGCACGGGTCTCACCGCCCAGAGGCGCCAGTGCCCCCAGTGCTTGCAGAGAGTTTCGCATGCATGGATTTCAGCACAGAGGCAGAGCGTCTTCTGGGCGACCGGGCCAGACTCACGAGCCGGCCCGGGCTGGGAGTTACACTCGAGGCTACCCGTCCGATCCTTCCCGGCGAACTCATCCTCAGCGACACGCCGCTGCTGGTTGCCAGCAGTGCGTCGTCCCTCTCCCCCGCTGCGCGGGTGCGGTACGAAGAGGCGGGAGACAGCGGCGACTACAACCTGGACGACCTCCTCATCCTGCACGCCTTTGTTCGAGCGGGAGAGCGGGTGAGGCGGCGCGTGCTTGAGGGCTTCTGTGCGGAGGAGTGCTGCGAGCCCGGCCACGCGATGCTGCTGGACGCGGAGCGGTGCGCCGCTTGGGCGCGCACGCATGACGCCGCCGCAAGCGGGCAGCACGGAGCCGCCGACCTCGCCCGCGCCTGCGTCGTGTTCACGCTCAACTGTTTTGGCCACCTCGCCGACGGCGTCACCGGCGGCGCACCGACGCTCTTCTGGCTGGCGAGCAAGTTCACGCACCGCTGCCTGCGGCCGAACAGCGTCTTCCACGGCGAGGGCGGCCGGCTCCACGTGCGCGCCGTGCGCCCGATCGCAAAGTGCGACGTGCTGACGATCTCGTACCTCGGTGTCTGGGCGCACTGCGCTGCGCCGCTGCGGAGGGGGCTTCTGATGCGCACAAAGGGCTTCCGATGTCGCTGCGAAGACTGCGCCGCGCCCGACGTGATGCGCAGCCTGCCGTGCCCCGCGTGCGCTCCGCGCGACGGCGCGACAGGCCTGCGGGGCCCGACGGCAGGCTACATGTCCTCTCGAGCGCTCGGTGGAGGACGTCTTCCGCTTCTAGGCCTGCTGCTCGGCGCGCTGGCGGTGCCACGCGTGGGCGAGGAGGAGGGGGCGGCGGGGGGCGGTGCTTTCCTGCTGCACTCTCCCGCGGCCAGCCAAGGCGGAGGCGAGGAGGCGCGCGAGGGGCCTGGCGACGAGGCGCGCGAGGGCGGCTGGTGGTGGGTGTGCTCGCGGTGTGGGCGGCGGTTTGATTCTGCGACGGTCGACGTGCCGTGCCGCGCGCCGGACCTCCGAGACATTTCCGAGACACTTCCGAGACACCTCCAAGACACCTCCGAGACAATTCCGTGCCGCGCGCCGGACCCGCTCGTATCCATCGAGACCTACGCGGCACTCTCGGAGGCGGAGGGCGTCGACGGCAACTATGTGTGCGAGGGCCTCGGTTGGGAGTCTGAGATCGTCAAGGAGCGCCTCCGTCTCTCCCTCGCACCGAATGAGCAGGCGCATCTCGAGTCGATCAGAGTGGCCCCCACAGGAGGCGCGTCGTCGTCAGGTGGAGGGAGCGGAGGAGGGAGAGGAGGAGGCGGCGGAGGCGACGACGGTGTAGGCGGGGAGAGAGGAGCCGGAGGAGGCAGTGGAGGCGGGGAGAGTGCAGGCTGGCAAGGGGGAGGGAAGTGGCCGCTGCGGCTCGCGCCGGGAGGGCTGCTGAGCTGGGAGCGGGAGCTCGGCGAGGCAGTGCACAACCTGCTGCACCAGCTGCTGCCGGGCCGCGGCGGCGAGGCGCGCAGGCGGCGCGGCGGCGTGCACCCTACGCTGCGCAGCATCGGCGGGATGATCCGCGCAACCGAGGCGGTGCTGGGCGGCGCGCACTGTGTGCCGATGGCGCTGCGCGACCTGCAGCTCGACCACTGGCTCGACACGGCCGCGGAGGTGGCCGAGTCCGCGGGGGCGGCTGGGCCGGCAGAGGCGGCAGAGGCGGCGCTGCTCGACGCGCTGCGCGACGGGGGCGGCGTGAGCTTCGAGAGCGCGCTCGCCTTCTTTGGCGCGGCGTGGGAGGCGCTCGCGGCGCAGTGCGCGTGGCACTTGCGGTGCGGGCTGCTAATGCTGCACGAGTCGGTGGGCGAGCTCCTGCGCGCGCTGCTCGAGTGGCGGCTCGACCGCGCCTTCTTGGCGGCCGACGCGGCGCGCGCCGAGGCGGTGCGAGCGATGGTCGCCGCGTCCGTTGAGCGCGCCACCATCGAGTACGGCGCGGCCTCCGACGACACGACAGAGCTTTTGGGCTTGTGGGAGCGTGTGCAGACGGGGCGGGGTGCAGAGTGACACACATCGAGATCTCTACATGTGCATGTGCTAGACACCGGTATATTTGTGAAAAAAAAACTGTTCCTGTTACGAAAAAGGTAGCTACTGCTCCGGCGACACTAGGGACTCGGGCCTGATCCCGCACAAAACATCTCCACACTCTCTCCTCTCCTATGACACGACTCTCCGACCTTGGGCTAGATTCCCATTTGATTCACCACAAGCGCCAAACTGCTTCGCCGCGCGCTGCTGACAGCGTCAAGTGCGGCCCTTAGCTGAGTATAGCTCGAAGTGGGCGTCGAGGGGGCCTATAGTAGAGTGTGAGCCCGCGCGCTGCAAAGCTCGAGTGTGGGCGATGGCGCGAGCTGGGCCATGTACTAATTGCGTGTGACTGTTTCTGCCGTCTTTGAGGGGGCGTGGGCGTAGGAGTGGCGCTCTGCTACCCTTGCAGTCGAGCGCCTTCTCTCAGCTCCATTGCCTCTAGGGGGTTGTGGCCGTGGATTTGGCCCCCTAGCCCCCCTCTCCGAGAGCAGGCCTGTCCAGTCTGTGTGGGTGGGGCGGCGTTATAGCGCCGTCGAGGTGTGAATCTTTCCTGCCGATGTTGGGGTGTTGCCGAGGTGGCGTCTCGGGGTGTCGCCGTACGCGGAAGGTAGGCGAGCGATGGTGGGGTTCCGGGGATTTGTCGAGGGTGGTAGTCGCCTCTGGTCGCGAGGTGTGAATGGAGCTGTGTGTCAGCTCTGACTAGATCTCGCGTGATATCCGCCGTGTTGGCGGTTTCAAATTCAGGCGAGGGGTTTGGTTGGTGAGGGCGCGGGTGGGGCGCGTCCGAGGGCTCGCGGGCGAGGGCGAGTGCCGAAGGCGGTGTAGCGCGCCTCAGACCGAGGTCTGTTTGCGCCTGGTCGCCTGCATAGGGTCGATCTCGGCGGTTGGGTTAGTGTTGGCATCCCGAGTGAGGTAAGGGTGACTGAGCCGTGGGCAGGGCTTATCCGGAGCCTGCAGAGCAGCGGAGCCGGCTGCGGACGTGGAGAGGTGCCTCCGTGTCTAGGTGTGAATAGGGGTCCGCTGTGATCATTCACAGTGGGGGGGGGGGGGGTACAGGAATTGTAAGACCTGCACCGACTGGGGGAGTTTAAAGAAGAGATTATCCCACAGCGGCATCGACTGCACGCCTTCTCTCGAGAGGGCTCCGGTGATGGGAGTGAGGTGCAGGTAGCGGATGCTGTCGAGTGCATCTACCCAGAAGGAGGGGAGATGAAGCGGCGCCCCCTCTGTGCGGGGCCGACACAGGTCGCATTCTTGCACAGCGGCGAGTACTGCGCCCCTACGAAGGTGAGAGCGGGCGAACCACTGATCGAGTACTAGCTTCCAGGGCGCCTGCGAGGCGTCGAGGTAGGATAGTAGCGCGTGGGTCTGGAGAGCACGAACGTGATTCGGCCAGTCTAGGAGCGCGAGGCCGAGCCCGTTCCCGTGCTCGTCTATTTGTCTACGGAGCGACAGCGCCTCCCGTCTAATCCAGGGCTGGCCGTCTTTGTCTGTGCCGATGGCGTCCCCGTCGAAGGTGGGATCCTTTGACCAGAGTAGGGCGCGCACATCGCTTTCGATAGCGTCATGAAACCACCTGGGGGCGGCCATGACCTGCATCCAGTAGCGAGGTCTCGAGTAGACCATCGCGTTTGCAATCATGACACGCCCGTGGACTGTTAGTGTGAACACCTGTCGCCATCTCGCCATGGCGGTTTTGGTGCGGAAGTAGAGGTGTTCCCATCAACAAACATCTCCAATTTCGCCAGTGCCGCACTGCCAGTGGTACAGGCTCTGTGTGCATGCGTGTGCGGCACGCCGGTCGCCACATAGGAGGTGAAAACCACTTCTCTCTGCTTGTTTGGATTTGTGAGGGCGCACGGACACTCCTTCTTCGGAACCCCTCCAGTCATTCACGTCAAGCTGTGCGAACGGCGCCTGGGTCTCCACGCCCCAAGTATACATGTGTATGGAGGTGTCCGCCCCCCCCGCCGAGTTCCGGGGGGACGCGGCCACAAAGTGGCAGCTCTCTGTCACCGTGCCTCCGACCAGTCCTGACGACGCGGCTGCGAAGCGGCCGCTCTTTGACCCGGCTGCAAAGCGGCAGCTTGTTGACCCGACCGACGGCGCTGCCGCGAAGCGGCAGCTGGTCGACCCGACCGCACACCTGCAGCACTCTGATCCGAGCCGCCGTTCTGGCGACCAAGGCGCAGACGACCAGAGCGCGGGTGACGCCATGCTCCGCGAGACGATGGAGCTGCATGCAGAGCCGGCGACGCTCGGGGAGGCGGCCGCTTCGCCCGACGAGTCCCCTGCGCTGTCCGGCATCGACCGAGAGGGGCGTCTCGCGGCATCGGCTGGGATGGGCGTCCCTCGCGCCACCGCGGCGGCCGCAGCTATGGCGGCCGCTGCAGCGGCGGCGGAGCAGCATCGCCTGAAGACAGACTCTGGGGTCTGGCACTGCCCGCGCCCTCTCGTGCGGGCGCGGCTGGCGGTGTACGCCAAGTCCGGCACGGCGGACCCGATCGAGGCGGTGGTGCTCGAGATGCACCACTCGTACCTGCGGACGATGCCGACCGGGTGCCACACGGCGGTCATCCTCGAGGCACTCACCATCCGCGCCCCGACGCCGCAAGCGCGCATCTCCGTGCACGACGTGATGTACCACTTGCGGTCGCAGCTCCGCGCGGCGGTCGAGGTGACCAACGGGCCGCCGCTGCACACGCTCTCGGACGAGCTCGCCCTCCTCGAGGCCGCCCGCGTCAACGACCTGAAGACCCTCCGGCGGCTTCTCGCCGCCGGCGTGAACCCGAACCGCCGCCACCTCGTGTCGGGTGTCACGCCGCTGATTGCGGCCGCAACGTACAACCGGCGCGAGGTGGTCAGGCTGCTGCTGCAGGCCGGCGCCACGGGCGACGTCGTCTCCTTCGACGGCGCGTCGGCGCTGCACATTGCGGCGCAGCGCCGATTCCCGCAGGTGGTCACACACACACACACACACACACACACACACACACACCGCTCACCCACGCGCACCGGGCCTTGCACTGTGAATGCCGTGGGGCTCCTGTCGTTAGACGTGGAGACGCGAGGGTTGCCCCCCCTTGCCCCACCACCTCGTGTGTGTGGAGAAGTTTACCTTACCTTACACCTTACCTTACCGCAGGTGGTCCGCTACCTGCTGATGGCGGACTCCCCGCTGCACCTGAAGGACAGCCAGGGGCGCACGCCCTTCGAGGCGGCCCAATTCGGAGACCCGACGAGCGGCGTCAACATGGGCGACGACATGCTCCGCGAGACAATGGAGCTGCTCACGACGCATCCTGTGGGAGCCTACATCGACATGAGCTCGCCCTGAGAGCGCTGCATGGATGCGCGCGTGCGCAGAGGCGAGCGCCTACTCGCGCTTTCACGGCTACTCGTGCAGGACAGTGCGCAACAGCAGTTTCTTGCTGCGCGGCGGGGGCCTAGCATGCACTTCTACACACACACACACATCCGGGTTGTGTTTGATGCTGCGCTGCGAGCGAGGGTTTGTGAGTTGGAGGTTCTGTGGGTCTCGACTCTCGTGTTAGAGCGGGCGAAGGCACACATACACAGGGCGAAGGCCGAAGGCACACAGGCAGGCAGGCAGGGCGAAGGAAGGCACACACCACACAGGGCGAAGGCACACTGTCACTGACTGACTGACACAGGGCGAAGCCGACCCAGGCAGAGGCCGACAAGGCACACACCAGGCTTGCTTGGCACATGGCACGCCATCGGCTCAGCTTGGCACGCCACCGGGCCGTTTCGGGCCGAGAGTGATCCCGCGCCGAAATTGGATGAAATTGTTACGCACGCCCACCCGTAAAATGCGTGTATCGGAATATTCGATTCGAGCTCTGAAGTCCTCGTCGTGAGTGTCTCGCGCACCACCGTCGCGGCAGCGGCTGCGGGTGAATTGCGCGCCTCCCCCTGCTGCAAAAGGTATGCCACACAGCTATGGCATGGCCATTTGGCCGCCACCAGTTCCACCGGCACCGCCGTTCAGCCCGGCCGCGGTATACACGATCACGACGACGGGAGGATCCTTTCCTGAGGAGGTGAGCTGGACTCTCACCTGCGAGGGGAAGGAGGTCATCTCTCAAAGCGCCCGCGACGCAGCATGGTACGCAACCTACCTCGTCTCGCTCTCAGTTGGCATGCAGTGCACCCTGCTCATGTGCGATTCGTATGGTGACGGCTGGAACGGCGCCAGCTGGACGGGCCTCGGGCAGGTGGCCCTCACTTTGGAATGCCCATACACCTACGACGGATTTCCTCTCACCTACGACGGATTTCCTTTCACCTACGACACCTACGGGGACCTGGGCCTGCCGCGACCGAGCCCTGAACCGAGCCCTGAACCGAGCCCTGAACCGAGCCCTGAACCGAGCCCTGAACCGAGCCCTGGTGACGGAGCCTGCCCGGTTGGTCGAAGCGGCCACTGCTACCAGCGCATCGCGCACTTCGAGGTGGCGCTCGTAGCCCCTCCCCCTCCACCATCACCGCTGCCGCCGCCACCGTTGTCACCGCCGCCGTCTCCGCCGCCCTCGCCACCCTCGCCACCCTCGCCACCCTCGCCACCACCGGCACCGCCGTTCAGCCCTGCTGTGGTCTATACCATCACGACGACGGGAGGATATGACCCTGAGGAGGTGAGCTGGACTCTCACCTGCGAGGGGAAGGAGGTCATCTCTCAAAGCGCAGTTGTCACGTACGCAAGATACCACGCTGCTGTCCGTGAGTACCCCGTCTCGCTCTCAGTTGGCATGCAGTGCACCCTGCTCATGTGCGATTCGTATGGTGACGGCTGGAACGGCGCCAGCTGGACGGGCCTCGGGCAGGTGGCCCTCACTTTGGAATGCGACACCGTGGAACCGAGCCCTGAACCGAGCCCTGGTGACGGAGCCTGCCCGGTTGGTCGAAGCGGCCACTGCTACCAGCGCATCGACGCCTGCACCGCCCGGACCGCCTTCTGCGCCGCCCTCTCTGCCGTCACCGCCGGCGCCGCCACTGCAGAATGCATGTGGCGAGTGCGTCGCGTGCAAGTTCGGACCGGCATGCATTCCCTACGACCTTCTACCGAACGCTGCAGTGTGCATGGTGCTGGGTGGCACTGATTGCTCCGTCTCATCGCCATCGCTGCCGCCGTACCCACCTCAAATGGCGCCAACGCCGCCGCCGCCGCAACTCCCACGGGAACTGCTGTGTGGCGAGTGCGTTGCGTGCAAGTGCGTCGAGTGCGTCGGTGAGATCCCTTCGGGATGCTATCCCTACGATCCTACCGGATCTGCAGGACTACCGAACGCTGAAGAGTGCATTGGTGTCGGTGGCATTGACTGCTCCCCGGCAGCGCCGGCCCCTCCGTCACCGCCTCCGTCGCCGCCACCGGCACCGCCATCGCCACCGGCGCCACCCGCGCCACCGCCGCCACCGGACCTTGATGTAGTGCATGCGCCGCAGCTGGCGGATGCTCCTGTCATCTCATTTGAGGACATTCCGGCCTTCTTTCCAGAACCCAGGCCAGCATGAGCACCATGCAACAGCAGCACGTGTGGGTCTCTCGGACTGTCAAAGACGCCTGTCGCCATGTGCTGCTGATGGGAGAGGGGGGGGGGGGGGAGGCACAGGAGTCCACGGGGAGCGTTCAGGCTGAGCTGCCCATCTCTTTCATTGTGATGGCCTCCCCATGTGGTGCGAGCGATAACCGCACGGCTCTCAATCGATCGAGAGGGATCACGGCTCACGGATGCATTGGATAGCGGACTCAGCGGTATGGGGGGCGGGAGGACGCCCCCTCGACGCTAGATCAGATCTAGGTGCTGCACATGCACATGTATATGTATCTCTGAGGCGAGAGGAATGTGAGGTGCTGCTGGGCAGGGGCCACTGAAAGAATTTTACAACACAACTGAACCGTCGGGCCGGACCTTGATCCTTGATGTAGTGCATGCGCCGTCGGGGCACACGCGGGGGCCGGGGGGACACCACTGTACCGCGTCCGTTCCGGGCATTTGAGATTTGTGTTGAACGCGACCTTCGGGGGCAAAGCAGGGGCAAAGACATGGGCTATGGCTCAGACTGGACTCCTCTTGGTCCCTTCTTAGGGGCGCGCGGTTTCGGTTTTTTATTCGTGTTTTTCGAGGCGGGATCGGACAGATACCGTTGGGATCTACACACAGGCAGCGTGTGTGCTGGCGTTTTGCCCCAGCGGCATTTTCACGTAACAAGTACCACACATGCAAGCCGCTTTCGACTCGTTTGCTCGCTCGCGCGAGGACTTTCGTGTCAGCGCTGCGGCGTGGGACATCGTGACCGATCACATCTCGCGCTGCGCGGAAGAGGACGACCGCGAGGACTACATGCTACTCACGCTCTGTGAGCTCTTTCTCAAAAGCGGCACCAAGGTGATGCTCGAGGAGGTTGAGGACCGTCCCGAGCTGAACGGTCTGTACGCCGACGTCGTTGGCAAGTGTGAGGACGGCTACTTTCCGGTTCACGTCGCAGAAATTGACGAGCACTGCTCCGTTAGCGTGCGCAGCCTGCGGCCCGCCGGCTTCGATTCGCGCCCCCAGCCGGACTTCAAGATCCGCGCCGTCGCCGACGAGGGCGGAGCCACGGGCTTCATCTACACGGTGGGCCTGAGCGGGCTCGGCGGCTCCGTCATGTACCCTATGCTGACCGAGTTCGGCCGCGAGATGTTTGTGCGAGATGTGCCAGCTAGCAAGGCAGAGGCCTCACCGCTGCGCTCTCTCGTCACTGCTCCTCCTCCCCGCTGCCTTTCCCCTGCTGCCTAAACGGCTGAAATCATCAAGCTCCGCCACCCTCTGCCCACAAAGGTGGAGAGCGTCGCCAAGCTGATGAACTTCCTCGTCTCGCGAATGGAGGAGGGCGTGCCCGTCAACGACGAGCAGCTCGTCCAGAGCAACGGCCTCATGATGGCCAGCCAGCTCCACACGGCGGAGACTGCCGCGGAGATGCGCGCGGAGTATCATCTCGAGCAGCCGGAAGGCAGCACACACACACACACACACACACACACACACACACACACACACACACACACACACACACACACACACACACACACACACACACACACACACACACACCGCTCACCCACGCGCACTGGGCCTTGCACTTTGAATGCCGTGGGGCTCCTGTCGTCAGACGTGGAGACGCGAGGGTTGCCCCCCCTTGCCCCACCACCTCGTGTGTGTGGAGAAGTTTACCTTACCTTACCTTACCTTAGGCAGCGAGCTCATCGAGCTGCACCCCGTCGTCAGTTGTGAGGGCAACGACGACATGTGGGGCCGCATCCTGACGCAAGCCGACGCGCGAGCCATGGCCGCCCAGGCAGGGCTGTGACGGGAGTCAGGACGAGGAAGGCCTCTAGCTCGTGGCCTCTAGTCCTGCTGCTCGCACCGACGCCGCGCGCTGCTGCCCTGTGCGCACACGGCCGCTGGGCCATTCGAACTCGGGGCTTTCATGTCGGCGAGGCGGCGGTCGGCGTGGCACGCGCGCCTCTGGCGGCGGTCGTTTGCCGGCCGGCGTGTGCGCGCGTGCGCGTGCGGCCCGGATCGAGCGTCGAGTCGCCGAAGCAGCTGCGCTGCGCTCCCGCGCGTTCACCACCTCACATCTGCACTCGTGTCTTTCGGGTATATAAGGTAAGGTAAGGTAAGGTAAACGTCTCCACACACAAAAAGTGGTGGGGCAAGGGGGGGCGACCCTCGCATCTCCACGCCCGGGACACGGGCAGGAGCCCCACGGCATTCAAAGTCGTGCAAGCACCGGCCCCGCCCGGTGCCGTGGGTGAGCAACCTGCACCCCACTCCCTCCCTCCCAGACACAACCCGCACACAACCCCCACAGCGTGGTTTCTTTGTTTACGATTTGGAATTTGGGCCTGTGGGCAAACGCGGGCCACTTGTGACGGGGGCGGGCGCGAAAAATAAAAAACCCTGACGCAAACACGTCGCTCAGAGGTAGAGAGGAAAGGGCCCACGGCTGCCCAGAGGTAAAGGTAAGAGGGCCGCAGGCCCTCAGAGGTAGAGGTAACCTAGACCCCTCCTACCCGGCCCTCAGGGCCGAACATGAACGTGCACAAAACGCGCACATCAACGAGTGAGGGGCCCGCAAACCTCGCGAACCTTAGCGGCGCTATGCGTCGCCTGCCACGGCGCAGGCCCACCAGGCTGAGGTGCGTGCGGGCCTTGGCGCTGGGGCGTGGCGCGCGGTCTCCCCCGATTGCGACCCCTGCTGACTGCTCGGCTCAGCGGATCGCCGCGAGACGCGCCATCTCGCTGTCGGTGAGCTCGAAGCTGAACACGCCCTCGAGGTCGTCGACCATGTGCTCCTTCTTGTCGCTCTGCGTGACGACGGGCACCCCCTGCTGCACGAGCCACCGCAGCGCGACCGCCGCCGCGGTCCGGTTGTGTGCCTACGGCGTTTGAAGACAGCCCACTGCTTCTCGTCCACCTGGTGATGCGGTGGGGCTCCCTCCCGCGGAAAAATGGGGAGATATGGGGAGATATGGGGAGATATGGGGAGATATGGGGAGATATGGGGAGATACGGGGAGATATGGGGAGATATGGGGAGATATGGGGAGATATGGGGAGATATGGGGAGATATGGGGAGATATGGGGAGATGTGGGGAGATGTGGGGAGATGTGGGGAGATATGGGCTCCCTCCCGCGTCAGCGTGCTGGCGGCCCTGCTCTGTAGCATCAGGTGTGCGAAGGAAAGAGTGGGCTGGTTTGAAGACACCCACGCGAGGGCGTGAGTACGGTGTTGTGCTGATGTGCGGAGTACTCGGAGCACCGTGTGAGTACGAGGGAGAGGCGAGTACAGCCGAACACAGCTGAACACGGCTGAATGCGGCGAAACCGGCTGAGTGCGTGTCCTCTCGAGTGCTGGTAGGGATACGCGGGTCTGTATTCCGCATCAATGGCCGCGCGCCGCCGCGACCGCCCTCACGTTTGTATCGCTCAGCACCCTCGGCACACCGCCCGGCGCCGCCGAGCCGAGCGGGCTGTACGCCTAGGCACGGCCAAGTCCCCTGCGCCTTCCCACGCATACAAGGTGGCGGGGCGAGGGCCAGGCAGCCCTCGCGACTCCACGCCGAAACGACGGGAGCGCCACGGCATTGAACGTGCAAGGCCCGGTGCGCGTGGGTGAGCGGTGTGGGGGAGACATGGGGAGACATGGGGAGACATGGGGAGACATGGGGAGACATGGGGAGACATGGGGGGAGACATGGGGAGAGAGTCGGCATCTAGGGGCGGTGCGCCATCAGGGTGATGTAGTGCCTTCGGCATGCGGCGAGGGTGGCGTCGTCGCGGCCCCACGTCTGGTTCCTGTACCTACGTGTTGAAGACACCAAAAAAAATACACCAACCTCAGGGCGGGAGATATGGGGAGATATGGGCAGTATACGAGTTGAAGACACCAGCCTCAGGGCGGGAGATATGGGGAGATATGGGCAGTCTACGAGTTGAAGACACCAGCCTCAGGGCGGGAGATATGGGGAGATATGGGCAGTCTACGAGTTGAAGACAACTCCTCGGGGCGGGAGATATGGGGAGATATGGGCAGTCTACGAGTTGAAGACAACTCCTCGGGGCGGGAGCACGAGCGACACAACGACAGCGAATCGAGCCGGAGACGGTCGAATACGGCGGAAGACGTGTCCTCTCGAGCCCGCCGGTTGGAGCACATGAATACGCCTTTTCCGCCTCTAGGCTCCTGTGCCGGATGCCAGAGTGGCCGGCGACGCTGAAGCCGCACTGCGCGCCACGCGGAGTCGCGGGTGATAGCAGGGTGAGAGGGGAGGATGGCAGGGTGAGAGGGGAGGATGGCAGGGTGGGAGGGGAGGATGGCAGATGGCAGGGTGGGAGGGGAGGATGGCAGTGTCGGAGGCGGGTGGTCCAGCTGCGCACACCTGGTTGACGGCGGGCCGGACCTAAGGAAAGGTCTCCGGTGAACGTCTCCACACACGAGGTGGTCGGGAAAGGGGCCGGGCAGGCCTGGCGACTCCACGTCTAGACGACAGGAGCCCGACGGCATTCAAAGTGCAAGGCCCGGTGCGCGTGGGTGAGCGGTGTGTGTGTGTGTGTGTGTGTGTGTGTGTGTGTGTGTGTGTGTGTGTGTGTGTGTGTGTGTGTGTGTGTGTGTGTGTGTGTGTGTGTGTGTGTGTGTGTGTGTGTGTGTGTGTGTGTGTGTGTGTGAGCTTCTGAGCTTGTGTTGGACCTTGACATGCGGCAGAAGGCTCTCGATGGCCGAAGCGTTAAAGTTCGAAACGCCGATCGCCCGCGCGCGGCCGTCGAGGGCGAGCCGCTCCAGCACACGCCACGTCGCAACCGTGTCGGCGGTGCTGTCGCACGGCCAGTGCATCAGGAGGAGGTCGACGAACGGCATGCCCAGCACGCTGAGGTCGTGCGCCACGTCGGCTGCCGTCTCCTCGGGGCTCCTTCTCGCGTGGCAGTGGTTCGAGTAGACGTCGTCCTTGACGAACGACGAGGCGCAGCATGGCACCTTGGTCGTCACAAACACCGCCGAGCGCAGGAGCCCAGAGGTGGCGACGGCGCGGCCAAGCTCCGCCTGGTATTTGTCGCCATAGTCGAAGGCCGTATCGAGCCCTCTGCCGCCAAGCGCGAGGAAGAGGGAGTGCTGCATCGTGATGCCGAAGCTGAGCATGGGCATGAGGACGGACGGCGCGATCTCGACAGAGGGCACTGGCTTTGCCGTCATGCTGGCGAGCATCATGCTGGCGAGTAGAGGGGGGGGGGGGGGGGCTCTGCTCCAAGAGACCTCGAGATTGCGTGCGTGTGCCTCTACTCGCCAGAGCATCATGGGGTTGTCCATCGCAGCCTTCGATGTTATGAAACAAACGCAAGGCGGACATGGCATATCGCTCTCGGGCCCACAGACATCCCAATTTTTTTCACGTCCTGGCAGGGTCCTGGTCGTGTCCGCCACATGCGACCAACGCACATGCGACCGATGCGCCCCCAACGATGCCGCACCTGCGGCAGCGAGTTTTGCTCGAGAAATAAACTCTTTGCCCATCTCCGCGAAGAGGGGCACGATGACGGCCAGCAGACTTCGACCACACAGAGCCGTCGGAAGGGCGAGCAGCAAGACACACCCGCAACCCGATGCCCGCAAAGCTGCTGCCGCCGCGTGTCTACGAGCGGTCTCCCTGGCGGCTGCCGGTCTTCGATGACATCGCTCGCACGGCACGCATAGAGCGCGTCGACATCTTTGGCGACGGGACCGCGTTCATTCTCCGCAACGTCCTCAGCCCCGCAGAGTGCGAGCGCTACATTGCCGCCGCAACAGAGATAGGCATGGCCTCGGTGCAGGCGGACGGCTACGAGCGGCGAGTGCGCGTGTGCAGCCGTGTCGCGGCCTCCTCCGAGCCTCTCGCTGCCCTCCTCTACGCTCGGATCGCGCCCTTTCTCGCGCGCGACGTCGACCTCTTGTCGGCCGACCACAGCACGCGCCCAAAAGGTATCCCGGCGGACCGGACACGCGCCGTGTGGAGGCCACACGGCCTGAATGAGATGTTCCGCATCTGCAGCTACAGTCCCGGGGGCCATTTCGCTCCACACCTCGACGGCGGCCATGTCCGCTCGCCCTCGGACGCGTCGCTGCAGACGTTCATGCTCTACCTGAACGACAGCTTTACCGGAGGCAGCACTCGCTTCTTTGACGACTCGCAGGCCGCCTACCGCTCGCCCGATGCGCGCAAGGTGATTTTCACGTACGTTCCACGCCGCGGCGACGCGCTTATCTTCAACAGCGAACTCCTGCACGACGGCGAGGCTCTGCTCACCGGACACAAGTTCATCATGCGCTCCGAGGTCATGTACACGTGGCAACGCACGGCGGCAGAGGCCGCCCTTGGCCACCTCTTTGACGCGCTGGGTGGAAGCGGCGCCGCTTCCGGTGTGGAGCAGACGGTGGCTGCAGTGAACGAGGGCCGCGTGGCGACGCTGCTGGTGAGCGACGGGGTGGCCCGGCGGGGAGCCGTGGCGTGGCTGTGCGAGCAGTGTTACCGCGGTCGTGCGGAGCTCGTGGCAGTTCCGGTCACGGCGCTCGCCGGGGCGGGAAAGCAGTTCCTATTTGGCCTCGAAGGGGTGGGTGCTCTTCTGAGTCCTGACGCATCCTCTTGCGTGGCGTCGTCGCGTGATGGCGGCGGCATTGCGGGTACAGGAGCAGCCACAGTACACTAGTCTCTAGGGCCGTTCCGAGGGCAAGGGGGCGTCTCTTTACAGTCACGGCCGGTGACTACGGCGGCCCACTCGCGTTTGGGTGATGCTCCGATAAACCCGCCGGATCTTCGACAAAAGCAGGGACATTTCTTTTTTTGGAAGGGTAGGTGTGAATACAGCTTTCTGGTAGGGTTACATCGACGAACTATGCGGCAATCGACTGGGGGGCAGCCCCCCAGCACATCCCGCACAGAGACCTGGATGTAACCCGATTGTGAGCGTGAGTGAAACCGCCGATGCGATTGCTCATTGCTCAGTCAGTGTGACCGACAGTCAGTCGCAGCAGACTTTGACGATTGGCGGCCTCGCGCCCTCAGTCGCCCTCCTCTACTAACGGCCCTGCCCCAGCCCAGATGCCTCATCCAGGGTGGTGCAACCACTCGCGCAGGGAGGGAGAGACAGTCGGCGATCTGCGCCGCGCAGATGAGCTCCGCCTCGTCTGCGTCGAGGACGTCCACCGCAGGGCTATCATAGCGCCATATGACGCACTGCCTGTTGTTCATTACTTCGCAGGTGCCAACGTCGAGGACAATCTCACTGGTGGCGGCTGCACTCCCGGCCGGCGGTAGGAGAGATGAAGGCTAATGTACTTGGCAGTGTACGGGGCCTTCCGGCGTGAACAGTGCCCCGGGACGAAAGAGGAGGCGACGTCTCTCTCGTCCACGAGCGCCTCGATGTGCGCATCGACGGTGTAACCAGCTTTGAGAGACGGGAACGAACGGCGGTGAATCGCCGACAGGTGCGCCTTCGTTCCTACCACCACTCCCACCACCGCCAGCTCCGCCGTGGACCTTGCCGGGCCCTCTGATGATGTAGTACCGTGGAGCAGCTAGTCCGAGCCGTTGTTGTACTCTGCTGTGGCGCCAGCTCGGTGTACAATACGGACGAAGACGGCCACAGCAACGGTGTAACCAGCGCGAGCAGGCAGCGCGAACCGCTGTGCCTCGGCGCGCGGCCGGCCGCCGAAATCCTCTAATAAGAGTTCTTTGGCATAGGGGAACCCCAACCCTAAATTTTCTTCGCCTGCGGCGGGCCATCACTTGGATTCGCTGCTTTCGGATTCATTAGCTCTTTCGCACGCCTTTATCCGTCACTCCCCCGAAGATTGGAGGTGTTGATTTATGCACAAATCTATGTGTTGCGAGCGCTAGATAGATGGCGAAATTTTCTTCGCCTCCGGCGGGGCCGCTCGCCGCGGGGCTGAGGGACTTTTGTCGATGTCGGCTAGAAGTGCTGCACCTTTTTGAGAATTTCACCCGTTTCTCGTTCGTGTTTAAGAGTCGCTTGAGATCGACCGCGATTCACAGTCAGAGTCGCTACTTTCGAGTAAAGGAGGCGAGTGTGTCGAGGACTTTTGGTGAGTGTGCTGACGGCCAGATGACGCATGACGGCGCATGGCATGCGAGGCAACTCGGAGATCGCATTCAGATTCACCCCGGACACGTCGCAAGGGCTTTCTTCTTTCTGGCGGCATTGTTCTTTGTTGTGGCGGCGGCGCTCCGCGTCGGCGAATGGCCGGGGCGTGCTTTTCCCTATGTCATTTTCTCTCTCTGCGCCTGGGGCTCGCTTTGGCATGGCGCTTCAGTGGGCACTCGCATGCGCAGAAGACAAGACAGGTGTGTGTGTGACGGTCTCGCTCTGCCTCTCAGTCCGGTAGTCGATGTGCGCCCCCGCGGGTGAATTCTTTTTTGCGCGGCATCCGCAAAGCGTCTGCAAAGTGATGATCCGTTTTGAAAAGAAAGAAAGAAAGAAAACAGACAACCCAAGGGAGGGATGGGAGGACGGCACGCCGCCACCACACAGGGATTTTAAGGAGAGGTGTGTGGTGCGCTAGCCGTCGCCCACCCTAGGGAGTCTGCCTCTTCCTATCTCTCTTCGCAGTCTCTCGCCGATTCTCGCTGCAACCTTCATGCCACCTCGCGGTCGTCCCACTCTCGTCGTTCTCTCCCTTGTCACTTCCTCCTCTGTCGCGTCGTTCTCTTCTGCCTCGTCCTGCGACGCCGCCGCCTGCCGGTCCCTTGTTCTCGCGGCTTCTTTCGCCTTTCGGCGCAACTCCGTCCTCCTCGCGGCGTATCCTGGCCCCTCGAGTCTATCGAGCTCCCCTCGCGCAAGGACCACATTTCTGACTCCCACTCCGATCATTTGCCTACAGGTCATGTTGTTGCTCAGGTCCACTCTCGATCCGTTTTGATTCCAGACTGACACCTATTGCGAGATTTGCTTCGAAGTTGGCGAGCTCGGCCGAGCTCCTTCGACGTGCGTCCCCCTGCTGGCCAATCGGGCAAAACCCGGAAAGCGCTCGTGTTTGCGTGGTCAGCCTCACTCTCTGGGTGCGCGCTGCGCGCGGCGCTTGCGCAGCCAGCCCTCGGACCAGAGCTGCCGCGCCCCGCGCCACCGCCGCCCCTTCTCGCCATCCACGCACCGCGACACTGCCGGCATCCGCGGCGCAGCCGCGTCGGCGCCGCCCCCCGCTCTCGCCGACTCACGCCGCTCTGGGCCGTACCCTCGCACCAGGCGGCTATCTCCGCCGATGGCCGAACTCGACGACCTCTTCCTCGACGAAGAGCCCGCGCCCTCGCTCGCCGTCCCCCGCAAGGGCCGCCTGCAGAAGGGCCGCTCCGCGTCGCCCGAGAACAAGCGC